ACAATCAACTGACTGTCGGCCAGCTCTGGGGACAATGCCAGAGCCAGTTCAAGCCCCAGTGCAGTCCCAGGGCCAGACAACAATCAATTGATGGTTGGGCTCCCAACTTCCAACTTGTCAGTGAAGCAGGAGCCCAGGATCATGACCTTGGGCTCACCTGCACTGGCAAGTAAAACACATTTAGGATCTGAACTCCAATCCCAAAACTGCATGTTCTATACCATGTAGGCATGGCAGGAGAGGTGGTTGTTGGAACTGGGGATCAGATGCCATCACACCTTTAAATGAACATCTGTGAGCAGCCTCAGTTTATGTCCCTAACCAAGCTTCACATTCTCATACACCAGCAGAATAATTCTATGATCAAGTTGTAAATAGGAAAAGAAATATTACTCTTCTGAAAAGTTTCCAACTGAAAGGCTGCTTTCTTACTTACATGGGATATGTCTACATTGACAAATCCATCCTTAGACTGGCTCGTTAATGCTAACCCACCAACCATGGTAACTCCTGACTTGGTTTAACACTGGCTGGCCCTCCAAGCTTCCTGGAGAATCAGATCTTGAGGCAGAGATGATCTCTGCAGCTAACTCTTGCACTGTGTTCTTAACCCAAGGTAGATGATGGAAGCACAATAAGTAGAAGGGTGGCCCTCTGGCACCCCACTTCCTCTCTACTGCCCGTAACAGAAGGAAAGACAAGCAGACTCAGTTTGAGTTTCCTGTCGTGCTACAGTAGAGCCTTTTAAGGAATCAGTCTCTTCATTACTTGTCTTTCCTTCTGTGCTTCAGATGTGCAGAGCAGCAAGGTAATTGGAGACAAGGAGGGGATACTATTTGTAGCTTTAGATAGTTAAGAATGCCCCTTGGAGTCATCCCAAATACAGGTACAGAGCTAGGCATGAAAATACTTCTTTTGTTAGGCAGCTTTTGCAAAAACAAACTATCATAATCTACATTTGAGGCCCATGTTGATTTAAAAATCACCTTAAATGTACATTTCAACTCAATTACCATACGTTTTGCAAAGATCAAAATTTTTTATTCTTTGATTTCTCAAAAAAAAAAAAAAAGAAAAGAAAACTGTGAGCCCCACTACCTTCTGAGTAAATCCCACAGAAGGTGGTTTTATCTCTGAGTTCAAGAGCCTAGTTAATCCTTTTATCTGCTTCATAACTAAGCAGCAGCAAGGGAACTTGGTTAGATACCTGAGCAGAATCCCAGGGTCATGTTCAGTCTCTCAGTTCTCGCTTTTTAAATTTAGTTTTATAGCACCAAATATTATATGATGCTTCAAAGCAGCTATTTTAATGAGAAACAACATCCCAAAATGGCAATATCAACAAGTCTACTTTTTAATGAATTCTAATAAAAATATTTTTTGCCTTTGCCAATTTTCTGAACTTTCTTTTAATCTGTCTTTTGCTCAATACTGATAATACAGAAACAGCATACATATACCTACATGACATAATACAGTGCCACATGGAAACACCTGAGTTAGTTCTGAAAAAATTTGCACAGGTACTAGAAGCAGTATAGCTGTGTTAATATTTGGGTACTCAGCAAGGCTAATTTGCCCAGGTAGAGGGCCATACTGCGCACAGTACCTGAACTAGCTGGCTTAGAGTTAGCTTGTAGTATCTCAGAACAGCACTCGTTGTGTAGCCATGCACATGTCCCTGAAAGCAGCAGTGTCATTTCTCAGAAATAAACACCATAAAGCCATTATTTGCACAGCAAAGACAAGCTGACCCAAGTGATCATCTTGCCCTAGTTCCCTTTAAAATAACCTCATAATAAGCAGATATGGAGGAGTGGAAGTTCTGTGCACTTAGAAAAATAATGTCATCTTGCCTCCTTCTTCAAAGAGTCTTATTTACACAAGCACATGCAACAGCTTGCTAAGATGCAAGTCAAATTCTGGATGACAGCAGCTAAATTTCCTAAAAGGTTACCATGAGCAGCATGATTCTTCTGGGGCACTGGTTTGACTCATATAATACCACCAATTACCAGAAGATCTTCATAGATAAGTATGTTGCCTCTCTTTTTCAGCCAATTACAGAAAAGAAAACAGGAACAAAACTTCCCTAAAAACCTTATTCTGTACATCTGCCTCACCAATGCAGACCCCATTCTGCCCCTCTCACTGCCACCAAATAGTACGTTAAGTTATTCCATGAAGCAGTTGCACTAATTTGAGTACTACTTTACTGTTCAAACAAGTTCAGGGGATTCTTGATCTTTAAGCCACAGCTCAAGATAAATAAGGGAGAAAAAGTGTTTGAAGAAACCTTGATTGTCTTATGCTATGAGAATCATCTACTTATAGGGTCCACACGTGTCAATTAAGTTAATGGCAAACTGTGCGGTTTCAGTTGGCAGTAGGCCAATGGCCAGTTTTAATTTTTAAAAACAAGTTAAAAATAATACAATTATACAATATAAGCAACTTAAATAATGATTTCTAGATACTTTAAACGTCTAAACTGTCAATAGAGGCAACTTCTTTACTTAGCATGGTTTATACAGCTCCGTGCCTTGCTCAAAACTTATCAAAACCCAAGAACAAAAGTTAGAAAGGCAACATCTCAGGGACTAGACACTTGTTTACATTAAAAGCAGAGCCACTTTAGCTGAGCCTTGTAATTTAAAGGCGTCTCGGAACAGTAATTTTTACAGCCTGATCAGCAATGGAGACAAAGTCATGTAACCCAGAAAGAACCAGACACACTGATTTATTAAATAACGAATGTTCACTTGTCAGACTGAAGAAACAATGCACTCTTTACAACACTTCCCTGAAAACTACTGCATGCGTGTGTGCACGCGTAAAGTGAGAAAAAGGAGCATGGTTACCAAAGAGTCATTAAACCAGCAGATAATTTATCTGCCGGACCGAGGAAAGCTAAGGGAAATGAGCCAAAAATTTAAAAAAGGGGAAAGCCTAAGAGTTCTAAGCTTAGAAGCAGCTGATGTTATGGCACTAAGCAAAGATGAGCCAGAGATTATATACAATACAAAAAAAAAAGCTTTTAATTATATTTAGATAAATAAAAAAGATCTTCAAAATGTTCCCCAGAATTTTCCACATTAAGCTGAGGACTGATAGACTTTGTCAAGTTTCATTTATTTTAATAAATTTGCATTCTTGTGTAAAGCACTGAATGAACAAAACCATTTCCATTTAGCAATATGATCAAAGTAAGCGGGGGAGTAGAAAGTAGGTGTGTGCAGAAAGAGGGCTGTATTCGATTTGGATTCAGCTTTAGCCCGATTCAGGGTACAGTGATTCAATTCGTTAATTTGGGTCACTGTCCCGATTCAAATCTGGCAGAATGTGAAGATTCGATGCTGATTCAGAGAATCAGTGATTTGGCCATAGACACAGCTTTAAATGTTTTTTCTACATATCTCAAGGTACCAGGTGTGGCTCATGAATGTTGAGATGGTGGGGCGGATGAAGCATCCCACAAGAGCACGAAGGGGTCCACCACCGAGCACATGGGGGACCCCCCCCATGCCCACCCAGCTCAGCTATCAGCCATGGGGGGCCCCAGATACCCCCCCAGACCCAAGAGGCACCAGTCACTGAGTAGGGGGCAGGGGTCCCCCGCACGCCCTACAAGCTGCAAGTGGACCAAAAGTGCTTCTGGTCTACTTCTGGGTCTGCTGCCAAGCGCACGGGATTCCCCCCCCGCGCTCCCATGGGACGCTCCATCTGCCCCATTGTCTCAGTGTTCGTGAGTCACCTGGTACCTTGAGGTATGTAGAAAAAACATTTAAAGCTGGGTCTACGTCCGAATCACTGAAGCTCTCCGAATCGATTCAGAGGGTTCCAATTCAATTCACAGAGATTAAAAGGTCTCTTGATTCAATTTGGATTCAGAGATTTGGCCGCTGAATGAAGCCAAATCTCCACTGAATCAAATCAGTGACCGAAGTTTCACACAGCCCTAGTAGAAAGCACAGCATATAGTGCTGTTACTAGGTAATAGTTCCAGCTTTCAGTGTAACAGCGGTCATTTCCATTATAATGCTCACCTTTAATAGTTTCCTCCACAACTTGTGCTACATGATCTATTTGTTGAACCTAGAAAAAATACCAGAAAACAAATCAATAAACAGGGTGTAAACATCTAAACATATTAAAAGATTCTTGTCTTACGTTTCATTCAGGTGTAGGTAATGCTTTTGGTTTATTTATTTGCAATGTTTCTATGTATTGGTTTGTCCTTGGAAAAGTGCAGAGCATTGTTCGTGTATCCTTCAACTTAGTTTCAGTTTCATAGCAGTAAAAAAAAAAAAATACCTCCTTTGGGGGGAGGGAGGGGGAAGGATTCATGACTTGTTTTAAGCAATTTTAGGTTCTATAGCAACATTATTATACAAGCTATTTTGTAGCTCTAGCAAGCTAAGTTAGGAGAGGTGTAGTAATTATTTGGATAAGCTCAGATCTCCTCATTACTACAGCACTAATGCTGTGGCACGATCTTAGGGACTCAATGGTCTACACTGCCTCTTGCCTTGTGTGATACTCAAGATTGCTACAAAAATCAAAGCCCTGCCCATCCTCTCCCATTTTGCATGCTCTGAGGATGCCTCTTCCCACAGCCACTCAAGCAAACCAGAGACAGTCCTCAGGCATAACAGCAAAAGCATGTCTCCACAGCAACCTCACTACCTCAATGTCCAGGTTTGGACCTGCAGAATGAGACAGAACAGGTACCAGTTTTTTAGTACCAGTCCAGAGAGCACCATGAGGGTAGCAGATGCATATACTGGGTTGTTTTGAGTAGTGTTTCTCAAGTTGGGGAATGTATATCTCTGGTAGCATGTGAAAAAACTCTGCTGGGT